TAAACATTCTGATACAAATATCTTTGTTGTAATGCGATTTTTGGTCATCTGGGAATATACCTGATAAAGGAATTGCAGGATCAAATGGCAGTTCTATTTTTAGTTCTCTAAGTGTTCTCCAGACGTCTTTCCAAAAGGAACATATTAGTTTATGTTCCCACCAGCAGTGTAGAAGTGAGTTCTTGATGTTAAACTGTTAACATTTTAATTACAAACTATTGAATTTAGTGGTAGTGGATATCAAAACATTCTACTGATTAGAAAGAATGTTTTAACAGTTCTTTAGCAATATAGTTTTCTTTTATTTCTAAGTTATAATAGAAACACAATTGATTCAACTAGAGATTTTATTTATTTATTTATTTTTGAGGCAGTCTCATTACGTTGCCTTCAGTAGAGTGCTGTGACGTCACAGCTCACAGCAACCTAAACCTTTTAGGCTTAAGTGATTCTCTTGCCTCAGTCTCCCAAGTAGCTGGGACTCCAGGTGCCTACCACAATGCCTGGTTATTTTTTTTGTTGCAGTTACAGTTGTTGTTTAGCTGGCTGGGGCTTGGCTGAAACCTGCCAGCCTTGGTGCATGTGGTTGGTGCCTAGAGTAAACTAGAGATTATTATGTCAGTTTCACCTTAAATACTAATCACTTGGAAGTTTTTTTTTTTTTTTTTGAGACTGAGTGTCATTATGTCACCCTGGGTAGAGTAGTATGGTGTCACAGCTCACAGCAACCTCCAATTCTTGAGCTTAAGCGATTCTCTTGCCTCAGCCTCCCAAGTAGCTGGGACTACAGGTACCCGCCACAATGCCTGGCTGTTTTTTGGTTGTGATTGTCACTGTTGTTTAGCTGGGCTGGGCAGGGCTCGAGCTGCCAGCCTCTGTGTATGTGGCTGGCGCCCTCCTCACTGCTACAGGCGCTGAGCCGATTAGTTCTTTCTTAAGTGGTACTATCTTTAGAAAATGTTTGAATTATATATTTAATCCTTTTTCCAGTCTATATAGTTTTTTAAATACAATTTTCTTATTTCTAATTCATAAATGTGTTAGATATTAATATCTTAAAATAAAGATGATTATTTTAAAGGCAAAGAATATATTGAACTTTGTTTTCTACTAAATCATTTGAGAATTATTGTTCGATTTCTTGTCATTAGTTTCCATTTATCATGTGAGCATAAAGTAGGCAGCAGTTAGTTAATACTTTTTAAGTTGCCAATAGGCTCGTTATCCTGATGTTTTCTAAATATTGTGAGAATCATTAGGATGCTAGAACATTAATTAATACCATCAAATATTCGTGTATTCAGCCAATTTTTCTATTTTAATTATGACTTGAATAGTTCTTATTGCATTTCTTTTACAAGTTCTCATTTTATTTAAAATATTGTCTCTAGGTACAATCACATCTAGCAGTCCTACTGCCCAGCCCGCTGAAGTGCTTTTGCAGGCTACACCGCCTCATAGAAGAGCTCGCTCTGCTGCCTGGTCCTACATCTTCCTGCCAGAGGAGGCTTGGTGCGACCTGACCATTCACCTTCCTGCAGCAGTGCTTCTCAAGGAGATACATATCCAGCCTCATCTCGCATCTCTTGCAAGTGAGTAATATTTTATAAAGAAGCATTTTAAAAATAAAAGTATCATTTAGAGATATTTGAAAATGAGAAAAATATTTTGCAAGTGGTTATATACTTTGTTATGATTACCAGATTGTATAATTTTTGAATCATTTTTAGTGGAATATTTAACACTACCCCCAAGTCATTTCCCATCAAATGAAGTGACATAGCTGTTATCCTCGAATAAATAGGCTGGTTTGGTTTTTTATTCCAGTAATATATTACTTTGCTTTCCTCTTCTCCCAAAATTGTTAAGCTAAGGTTCTAAGCTGAAATTAGTTTATTTACTCATTATGGTTAAATTGGTTTTTCTAGCTTAGTCCTCAATCCTAGTCCTGTAATAGGAAATGAGCATTGATTTATTGGTGTGTCTATTCTACTACTCCTCCAGAAAATAACTCCCTCTGTGAATAAATTTTTAGTATAAAATTTTGACTATATGAATGTGATTTTTAAATGTATATTTTATATTTTTATATTATGAAATATCATTCATTTGATGCATGTTAATTGAATATATTGAATTGGTAATTTAAATAATTAAAAATGATTTTAGAAAATAAGTTATAGATTAAGAGCAAAAACTATTTCAAGTATTCATAAAGAATGTGAAATATTTTATATTTTTGATGGTCCCTGAATTTTTTTATAACTTTTACCGAATTGTTGCAATTGTTATATTTATGTTCATTGATTCTCACTGCTATCAAATGTCATCCAATAATTAGATGAAGAGTTGTATGCAATTTTGTAGATTTCTAGCATATTTGCAAGAATACATTTTTTTCTACTTATGCGCAAGATTAGATTATTACATCTTAATTGTGGAATCTGCAATACTTAGATTAAAAACAGATATGACTAATGTAAAGGTAGAAAGGAAAGTGTTTTGGGGGGTCAAAAAATAACTTACAGTACAAAGTATAAGCAACATTAAAGAACAGTCTAAATGAGGAAGAGATTCATCTGGAAGGCAAAGGGGAACGGTTCATGTAGATGATAGTTTTGGAAGTATTGCTAGATTTTGCACTAGAGGTGATAGAGGAAACTTATAGAGGAAACAGCTCCGTTATGGTGGAGGTCGTCCCTTTTAAATGTACTTGATTTAAAAGTTTGGTTTTATTATTGGATTAGAGTAGAAATTGATGATATGCTATGGTGGATATAATAGTCTCTAGAATCAAATATGGGCTTGAATATAGGATGTTTCATTTGTTGTTGTAGGAATGTGGATTGCTTAATCACATTTTCTGTCTACTTGTGTAAAATGTAGAAAATACTTTCCTGAAAAGGTTTTAAAGATTAAATTTAAAAACTGATGTGACTTATGTAGTTCTTAGTGTAAAACCTGCCATTCCTGATTTTACATTAAAATTAAAACCAAATTTTAAATGTTGTTTTAGTTAATGGATATACTTACTACATGGGCTTGTATGTTACCTTATGAAAAAACAATTTTTCCTGTAGTAGCTCGCAATTATTAACTGCATTGATTACTTGTTAAATTTTAGCAAGAATTGATTTTTAGAAAAATCTCGTTGATGTTTGGGTCATTTGAAAGGGAAATAGGAGATTAGAAGTAAAAGCAATTTCTAAATTCATCTGCAATATGGTAGTAGTGAAGTGATCAGATGGCAGAAAAACTTACTTTATTTTTTAAAATTTTGCTATTATTTTTTGAGACAGAGTCTCAAGTTGTTGCACTGGGTAGAGTGCCTGTGGTGTATTTTATTTTATTTATTTCTTTTTTTTGAGACAGAGTCTCCTTCTGTGTCACCTGGGCTAGAGTACCGTGGCGTCATTATAGCTCATTGTAATCTCAAATAACTGGGCTCAAGCCATCCTCCTTGTCTTAGCCTCCCAAGTACCTGGAACTACAGGAATGCCTAGCTAATTTTTCTACTTTTTGTGGAAATGAGGTCTCTCTCTCTCTCCCTCTCAAGCTGGTCCTGAGCTCCTGGCCTTGCAATCCTCCCATCTCAGCTTTTCAGAGTGCTAGGATCACAGGCATGAGCCAGCATGCCTAGAGGGAAGAACCTTTTTTATTACAACCTTCTCTCTCGAATTATTTTAAAAAGTAAATTATAAGATTAATCATAGTTTCATATTATTTAAGGTTATTTTGAATAAAGTAGAAATGATAAAATAATTGCCTAATTGACTGTTTTTTTTCCTTGGGGAACATCACGTGTAAGCGGATTGCATGTCCTTAATTAACTCTTTTTTAGTTGAATGTTAGAATGTTTATAATTTTTATTATATTGTTGATTATGTATTTTATATTGGAAGTAGCTCCAAAATTAATTATGATGAAAGTCATTGGCAGAGTATGATGTAAATTTTCTTTGTACACGTTCATAATGAAGGTAATTAAAAGGTGCTGTTTTATGGGGATTTTTTAATTAGATAGACCGTGAAACCTAGTTCAATTTTTATTTTGTGATGGTTCAATTTTCTCTTCCTACAGCCTGCCCATCCTCAGTGTCTGTTGAAGTAAGTGCAGATGGAGTAAATATGCTACCTTTGTCCACTCCTGTTGTCACAAGCGGCCTCACCTACATAAAGATCCAGCTTGTGAAAGCCGAAGTAGCTTCAGCTGTCTGCCTTAGACTGCATCGTCCGAGAGACGCCAGCACCTTAGGCCTCTCGCAGATTAAATTATTGGGCCTCACCGCTTTTGGTACCACTTCTTCAGCAACAGTAAATAATCCTTTTCTTCCATCTGAAGATCAGGTATCCAAAACAAGGTATGCTTTATTTCTCATTCTTAAAAATAGCAGTTTCTGTGTTTTTCTTGAATTATTCATTCAGTGGGGTATTTTTCTTGTTGTTTCCTAGGACATGCTTTGTTCCATAGCTTATCAACATAATTTTGGGGGGTATAATACAGACAGTTTTGTGGAAGCATAACCTTGAGGCTGATTAAAATTGAGATTTGTGTGTATTTGATCTTTAAGATGATCCATACTATATGTGGGTTAGATACTATTTGTTTTGATCAGAGTCTGTCATAGGGGTTTCCAAATCCCTATAACCAGCAGTTCATTTGAACCATATCCAACTGACCTTAGAAACAGAGACACTGAGTCTTTTGTGGTAAATCCTAAAGGCCCATTAAAAGGATTATATCTGAACCAAAGAAACAAAAACCTGAATATACTTTAATCAATATTTTCTGCTTAATTCTGATAGTTGGTGCATTTATAGATGGTTTTATTGCTTGTGCCTGTAGTTCCAGCTACTTGGGAGGCTAAAGCAAAGAATCACTTGAGGCCGGAGTTCAAGACTTAATCAGGGGCAACACAGTGAAACCAGGTGTCATGGTTCACAACTGTAGTTTTACCTGCTGGATAGGGAGTATAGCTTGAGTTCAGAAGTTGGCGCATGGGCAGAATGGCAAGACTCTATCTCTTTTTAGCACTCTGAAAGTGCTAAGACTTTATAGTTTTACAAGTTTATTATAGTAATAGTTTGTATTTATATATGTATATACAAATAAATAAGTTTAAAAACATATTCCTAGCTCATGTAATAAAAATAAGCAAGCATACAGTTTCTAAATACTGTGAACACTTAACGTCCTTTGATGTGGTTATAGGAGAAACTTTGTGTTTAATTATTGATTTTGCAGCACTCTAAAAACATGATTTTTAGATTGGTTAATGCTGTTTATGAAACACTCTCTGCTGATGTTTAAAAGTTGTTTTCTGCCCCGAGATAAGTTGAGCTACTTAGATTTACCGGGTAAGTCATTTTGTGTTGTGTATTTCAGCATTGGGTGGTTACGGTTATTACATCATTGCCTTACTCACATAAGTGATCTGGAAGGAATGATGGCAAGTGCAGCTGCACCTACTGCTAACCTGCTACAGACTTGTGCCGCGTTGTTGATGTCGCCCTACTGTGGAATGCATTCACCCAACATTGAAGTTGTGCTTGTAAAGATAGGACTGCAGTCTACTAGAATCGGCCTGAAGCTTATAGACATTCTCCTGAGGAATTGTGCCGCATCGGGCAGTGATCCTACAGGTGATGATTAACTTTGATATTTTAATTTTTACATGTCTCCAAAGTAATAGCAGTTGAGTTCTTTTATGATTAACTCTGTCTCCAAAATTAATTTCCCTTATGGCTTTATAATTTTTGGAATTTGTTTTTTCTTATTGGTAGAATTTTATAGTAGACTTATTTTTAATGAGTAATTATATTAAACCAGTCTTCCCATCCCCAATTTGCTTATTCAGCAAACTTTTTCTTTTGATTCTTTGTTGCAAGATTTAAATAGCCCTTTACTTTTTGGAAGACTGAATGGACTTTCTTCTGACTCTACAATAGACATTCTTTACCAACTTGGAACAACTCAGGATCCTGGAACAAAAGACAGGTATATGATCTCGTTTTTCATTTAAGCTACACATGCACACCAGCACACTGCAGTGAATGCTACTTATACTTTCTCTGCAGATAATCTTACAGCACTTAACACAGTACTGTTATATATTATGTTTACACATATTCCTCACTTGATGCACCCTCTGCAGATTTTCATGAACATTAGATATACATTTTGGACATATTTTGACATTTTAAGCAAATATGACCTTAGATATCTTAATACTACTTTTGAGGAATGGAAAGGAATACAACATTTTAAAGTGAGCCATGTTGGGGATAGCATCCTTATGAGGTGATGGAGTCATAATCATATTATCTTAGGCACTAAATTTATGTGAATAGAAGAATATTGTATCCATGGTTGGTACTTGGATTATTTTGATAATGGTAATAATGTTTGTTCTTTCTTTTTTTTTTTCCCACTTTTTGGCCAGGGCTGGGTTTGAACCTGCCACCTCAGGCATATAAGGGCCAGTGCCCCACTCCTTTGAGCCATGGGCTCCGTCCCATAATGTTTGTTCTTAATGGTTACTTGCTATTAATTATTTATAATATTCACTGCCAGCTTTAAATTAAGCCCCGTACCCTCTTTTTCATGCTTCCTTTCTCAAAATGAAATAATATTATAACAAGTAAATGATATGTGAATGCTTCAGCTGAATATTGAGTGATTTTGGTGAGTTTGCTAATATGCTTTTACTTTGTAGTCTTTTACTTCTCCCTTGCCGGCGTTGTGGCGGGTGCCAATAGTCCCAGCTACTTGGTAGGCTGAGGCAAGAGAATCACTTAAGCCCAAGAGTTTGAGGTTGCTATGAGCTGTGACGTCACAGCACTCTACTGAGGGCAACACAGTAAGACTCTTGTGTCAAAAAAAAAAAAAAAATGATGAGAACTCCCAAGTATTTTTGAAAATGTATTTTTGTTGGTATATTGTTGAGCAAATCTTCGGCATTCTCTAGTTTGAATGTGGCATCCTGTGTTAGCAGAATATAATTCATAGAGTATGTGATTATATGCATAGTTTTATGCTAAGAATTGTTTTCTTCTTACTTTGTAAATTATTGGAATTATTAATGTTTTGGTGAGTGCTTAGTCATTCTATAGTTATTTCCTTAATAGCTGCTCTATGCCTGGCATGCTACTAACTATGAAAAGGAAAAAGTTAATTAAGTCCTGCTTTGTGCCCCCAGGGTTAGGAAGAGAGCAGTGTCACCCACTAAGGAGGGAGTTAGGCTTGTGAATATATAAAGGACTGTCAGGCTGTGAAGGCATTCTGGGGAAAAATTATTCATAAATAGTGAATAATGACTTTTACTCTTTTAGACTAATTGCATCTTCTCTTGATTTAAAGTGTTTAAACCACATGGTTAGCACTGTAAATTTATTTGTAGCATATATTACAATTTTGTGTAGGTTTTTTTTTTGGGAGACAAAGTGTCACTCTCTTACTTTGAGTAGAGTACTGTGGCATCATAGCTCACGGCATCCTTAAACTGTTGGGCTCAAGTGATTTTCTCACCTTAGTCTCCCAAGTAGGTGAGACTACAGGTGCCCGCCATAGCGGCTGTCTAGTTTTTCTATTATGTAGTAGTGGTTGTGTCTCAGTCTTGCTAAGGCTCTTGTGGAACTCCTGAGCTCAGGCAATCCACCTGCTTTAGCCTCCCAGAGTGCTAGGATTACAAGAGTGAGCCGCTGTGCCTGGCCTGCAGTGTTAAATAAGCTGGTTCTTCTTAGCTTCATATAAACTATATGATAACTATGTACACTTAAAAATATATTGAAGTACTTTTTGACAAACTAAATAACAATTTGTGCAAACTTTGAGTCATAGGAGGTAAAAAACATTTTAAAAAAATCAGTGTTAAATATTTTTCCAGAAAACATTGCTTAAAATCTATTTAATTTTAAATATTTTATGGGTATTTTCTTTATGAGAAGGAAATAAAGCTTAATTTATTTTCTCAGCATAATACTTTCCAAAATGTGAATGTTTATTTTCAGAACTCACATTAATGACAAGATTATTGGTTGTCATGGGTGAGAAAGTATTTCTTTTCCCTTTTGCCTTACCCTCCTTTTCTTTCTCTGAATAGTCTTTATTTCCTGTCTCTCATTCCTTCAGGGAATAGAAGGAGACCAATTAGTATTATGCACCTTTCTACTGCCACTGTTTCTACCCTCAATAAAGAATCTTATGCCTAACCTAGAAATTGCAAAGGAAGTAAATCAAATATAGATAGTGCTTTTAGAATTTGCTGTTAAATCTTATATAATATTTTGGGGTTTTTTAAAATACTAACTCTAAAGCACTATTGTTTTAAAAATTTTTTTCCTCTGATCTAATGTTTCAAAATTGGATGTATTTTACTAGTCCTCTGCTCCAGTGGTTTAGGAGTAGTTTGTTACTTGAAAAGCTATTTGTGTATGTTGAGGCGATTTTGTGTTATCACATGAATGGGGATGGGTACCTGCTGTTGGTATTTACTGCTAGGGTTCCTGGGACGTGAAACATGCTGTATTTCATGACCCTTCGTACATTAAGGAATTAGCTGCAGATCATTGCTCTAGGTTGTGTGGATTTGCTTCTTTTCTTTAGAAGAAGAATGTGAGTTTAATATGTGTACCCCAAAAGTCTTGAAATTTATACATTTTCTCATAAATGAGGTAACAAGGAATCAGTCCTTATTTGCTGAATCATAATTGTTATAAATTTCCTTTAGTTCATAATTGGGGCCTTTTGATTGGTTAACATTGGTAAGGAAATTAGAAAACTGGAATTGAGACTACCATATCTCTGGCTATAAATTTGGAATAAATTCTCTTTGCTCCATATTTATACTAAAATGATCAATAATAAGAAGTATATTTTTCGCGGGCAGCACCTGTGGCTCAGTGGGTAGGATGCCAGCCCCATATACCAAGGGTGGCCGGTTCGAATCTGGTCCCAGTCAAACTGCAACAAAAAACAACTGGTCCTTATGGTAGGTGGCTGTACTCCCAGCTACTTGGGAAGCTGAGGCAAGAGAATCACCTAAGCCCAAGAGCTGGAAGTTGCTGTGAGCTGTGACGCAACAGCACTCTGGCAAGGGCAACAAAATAAGACTCCGTCTCTAAAAATAAAAGAAGTATATTTTCCTTCTAAAAACTGTTTAATATGCGAAGATTGTATTTATCTGTATTGCATGCCGGTTTTACTGTAGTTGGTTATTTGAATTTATTTCCTTCTTTTAAGAATTCAGGCCTTGTTAAAATGGGTCAGTGATTCTGCAAGAGTGGCTGCCATGAAGAGAAGTGGCAGGATGAACTATGTGTGCCCCAACTCTTCAGCAATAGAGTACGGCCTTCTGATGCCGTCTCCTTCTCATTTGCACTGTGTCGCAGCAATTCTGTGGCATAGTTATGAGCTGCTTGTAGAGTATGATTTACCAGCACTGCTGGACCGCGAGCTCTTTGAGTAAGTATGATTTTCAGATCCTTTTTGTTTTTGCCTAGTACTAGATCACTTTAGGGTTCACTTGATAAAAAAATGTTCTGTATGCTTATTTAGATAAAAATATTTTGAATGGGGTGGCTCCTGTAGCTTAGTGAGTAGGGCGCCAGCCTCAGAGGCCAAGGGTGGCGGGTTCAAACCTGGCCCCAGCCAAACTACAACAAAAAAATGGCGAGGCATTGTGGCGGATGCCTGTAGTCCCAGCGACTCAGGAGGCTGAGGCAAGAGAATTGCCTAAGCCCAAGAGCTGGAGGTTGCTGTGAGCTATGACGTCACGGCACTCTACCCAAGGGTGATAAAGTGAGACTCTGTCTCTAAAAAAAAAAAAAAATTTGAACGCAGTAAATCTAATCAGGTATCCACTGAAATGAAATGTCACACAAATGCAGTTTACCCTCACGTTTTAAGGCAATGTATTAGCAGCGCCACCTGCGTTTCTTACCTAACCGAAATGTTCAGTACTGTACTTCTCTATTCTCAGTTACCGGTTTATTCCCTAGGTTCCTTTATCTGTAATGTAAAACTGTGGAGGAAAAGTACAGCTAGAAATGTTGAAAGACTATCTCTAGAATGTCCTTTTGACAAGTAGTGTCCATGTATCCACATTTCTTTATCATATTCAGCTAAGGCTTGATGAACTTAGGGTTTGGTTACTGATATGTCTCTAGCAGAATATTATATACAGCCTTGAGGCTGTTGGGTCTGTAGTTTTTTTACGTGACTTTTTAAATATATAATAAGCTGTCTTTCTGAAATCTTAAATTTCAGTACAATATTATGTAATATTGAGTAACTTTGCAGAGTATAGATTGATCTTTAATAGAAATACAGTAGGACCTCTGTATGTTGACCACCCAAAGGACTGTAACAAACTGGTACATGTACAGAGGCAGTCACCGTAAGGAACTAGACCTGCTGGGCTGCTATGCACACTTGGTGTGTGTCCAGTCTATGAAAATTAGATCAACTTAAGGATGTGGTCCTTGTAGGGAAGTGGTTCTACTGTATTTGCAATGAGGTTTTTTCTTTAAAAAATTGTATTATTAACATGGTATTTTTTATTTTTCTAGGTTACTTTTTAATTGGTCCATGTCTCTTCCCTGCAGTATGGTTTTGAAGAAAGCTGTTGATAGTCTCCTTTGCTCGATGTGTCACATACACCCAAATTATTTTTCTTTGCTCATGGGCTGGATGGGAATTACTCCTCCTCCAGTGCAGTGTCACCACAGACTATCCATGACCGATGATAGCAAAAAGCAGGATCTTAGTTCATCTTTAACAGATGACTCTAAAAATGCTCAAGCCCCTCTGGCATTAACCGAATCACATTTGTCAACCCTCGCTTCCTCTTCTCAGTCTCCAGAGGCTATTAAACAGTTACTAGAGTCAGGCTTGCCTTCCCTTCTTGTGAGGAGTCTGGCTGGTTTCTGCTTTAGTCACATTTCATGCTCAGAAAGCATTGCTCAGCCAGTAGATGTTTCCCAGGACAAACTCAGGCGACATCATGTTCCACAACAATGTAGTAAGATGCCTATCACAGCGGACCTGGTTGCTCCTATTCTTAGGTTTTTGACAGAGGTTGGCAATAGTCATATTATGAAAGATTGGCTTGGCGGTTCTGAAGTCAACCCATTATGGACAGCACTTCTGTTTTTATTGTGTCACTCTGGGTCCACTTCTGGAGGACATAATTTAAGCGTACCGCAGACTAGTGCAAGATCCGTTTCTCTCTCTTCGGCTGTTACAACAGGATTGACTACTCAGCAGCGCACAGCAATTGAGAATGCAACTGTTGCATTCTTTTTGCAGTGCATTTCATGCCACCCTAATAATCAAAAGCTGATGGCTCAGGTAAGAGAAGAAAAATTCTTATCTTAATATGCTGTCATATAGTTAGTGGAATTAGGTAAGGGAGTCGTGTATAAAGGCCAGGTGGTGGTGAGATTTAGAGTGCTGAAGATCTGAATTGGAACCACAGTTAATCTGTTCTGATCTCCTTATTTATGCAGTCACATAAATAAGTTACTCTTTATGGTGAGATGATTGACAAATGTGTTGGGATTTTAGCTGTAGATACTTTACTCCTTTCCTTTTGTAAAACTCCCACAAATGAAAAGAACAAGCCCCTGAGAATGCTAAAAAGGTGGAGCACATGACAGTGGTCATTGAGTGGTCACTGAGTGCTGTATGTGCACTGAAGCATTGCATTTTGGTGAGTGCTTTGCCATCACTTGTGATGTGCTTCACCTTACATAGACACTAGGATTATAGGAGGTTTCAGATAGGAGGCCACAGATAAATCACATTGAAAATGTAGAAGATGGCATATTGTATTGAGTCTCAGGATTTTTGAAGAGTAGTTCTAGTTGCTTTCTAGCTGTTGTGATTCAAATCTGGTAAGTTGTTTAATAGATAAAGTGAGGCTCGCAATTCCTGCCTCACAAGTTTTTTGAGAGGATTAAATATTTTAATGGTAGATACTAATAAATAGTTCCCAACTTCTTTTTTCCTCCCCTTACTTAATAGTGCTCGTTCAGGTCAAACATTATTAATTATCTGCAAGGATACCCATCACAATTTTTATAAAATATTGAGTGATTTAACTTTTAAGAACAAAAGTGAAATATTTTACTACCTATAGTAATTACTTATTGGGAAAATAGCTCTCTGTTAAATGTTCCTAATTAAGTATCCCATGGCCTACTTTTCTCTTAGTTTTTATTAAGGCTCTGTTCTATGTTTTTAATATATCTTTTCATAATTTTTTTGGAAAGTACTTTGATACTGATTAAAGTTAAAAACTAAGTTGGTTATATTAGGTACTCATTATGTGAAAACCTTATAGCAGCAATTTACTCACAGAATATTTGTTATGCTTTTAACTTTTTATCTGCATCTGTATTCATATATCTTAAGATGAAACAATTTGTTCCTTATTTGCTGATTTTGAATGATGCATTAAAATATTCTTACTAATCTACATTTTAAATTTGTTCATTCTTCAGAGAAAAAAGCTGGAAAGAAATCAAGCATTTAACTTTTTTTACCTCTTGCCTTCCTAGGTTCTTTGTGAACTATTTCAGACCTCTCCTCAGAGAGGGAACCTTCCAACATCTGGGAACATCTCAGGATTTATACGAAGATTATTTTTACAGTTGATGCTGGAAGATGAGAAAGTGACGATGTTTCTTCAGTCTCCCTGTCCAGTGAGTTTCCAACACTTAAAGCTTAATGATTACCTGTGTATAAATAGTCTATAATTTCTCATCCGATAATTTCTTATCTCTTATGCTCTTCTACCTTTTAATATAGCAACCTGAAACCAGAATGACCTTTCTACTTAATGACAGGACTTGGAAATCTCTTTAGGATGATACCCTCCCCCCTTACAACATAATTATATCCTGACCTAAGTATTATAATTTGATTTGGGACAAAATGAACATTAACCTAATATTGCTATTGCAAAATGAACATTAACCATAATATTGCTATTGCGAAGATGACCAACAAATCATGTGTCAAACAATCTACCGTTAAAGAACTCTGTAACCTAGACAGCATTTTGTATGCTATATTAAATTTTTTAATCTTGTATTCTCTGTAGTTGTTTTGTAATGATCCATGTTCTAAAAAGTGACTCCTTGATTTCTTTGATTTCTTGATTTTCAGTTGTATAAGGGTAGAATCAATGCCACTAGCCATGTCATCCAGCACCCAATGTATGGAGCAGGCCACAAATTCCGTACTCTTCATTTGCCAGTCTCAACAACATTATCAGATGTTCTTGACAGAGTGTCAGGCAAGTCTTATTTAAGTATAAATTTTACTTTAACTTTGTGTTAGAAGTATATAGAGTTTTACTGTATTGCTTTTTGACTGCTATTTATTAACTAGGAAAGATCAAGACATGGGTACAGTTTGAAGTATAAGAAGCTTCAGTCAAGTGGGCAAAATGTCCAATACTTCCAAGCTCTACAATAATCTTTTTTGGTATAATATGTGTTCGTGTGTAGTAATTACAAAATGGATAGCTAGAAATATAGACAGCCATTGGAAGTCATTTGTCATAAAAAACTTAACTGGTCATTTCATAGTAGTTGAAATGCAGGGTATTTCATTGGATGAAAGGATTTTAATTAATGGATATTTACTAAATGGGGGGGGATCAATAGTTAAGAGTAGGTAAATGGAGTAGGTAGAACAGACTGGTCACCTCGTTCTTTATAGGAGTCAGTGAAGAAAGCAGAGAGAACATTTTCCCCTAGGTTTCTTTCCTGCATTTATAGGATGATTCCTTTTTTTTTTGAGACGGGATCTTGCTGCTGCCCAGGTTGGAGTGCAGTGGTGTCCTCTTAGCTCGCTGCTGCCCAGGTTGGAGTGCAGTGGTGTCCTCTTAGCTCGCTGCTGCCCAGGTCGGAGTGCAGTGGTGTCCTCTTAGCTCGCTGCTGCCCAGGTCGGAGTGCAGTGGT